TCAGACTCTTACTGACTAAAAACCCTAAAACTTCCTACTCCAGCCCTTCGAGCCAGAGCCCCGGCAGCCCGTTAAGTCTTCCGTGGCTCCGTATCGGCATCAGCCCTATTGGGCCCCCTCCATAATGGTCTGATGGCCCTTTGCGGCGCGTGCGGAACGCGGCACGCCGTAAGGTCGAGTCTGCTTCTGGTCAGGCGGCGAGCCACCCATGCTCGCCGACCCAGGCCCGTGCTTACGGTGGCCGGAGATCGTCCCGCGATCCCCGACGCCCGGAGTGTCCTTCGCGACGGCTGGGCTGTGAGGAGGCAGCAGTTCGCTGCCTCACGCGCCCCTTCGCAAAAGCAGGAGACGGCATCCCAGGGCTCTTCGTTCCGCATCATGGCCTAGAATAGGAAAGGACGAGAGAGGTCCCCTCTCTCGCATCCCCGAAGGCACGACGGTGTTCAGCCCACGCAGGGCATGTCCCTACAGTGTGTTCCACCGTGTCCTCCGAGTTACACTACTGTATGATAATATTACCGTGGTATCGGCATCAGCCCTATTGGGGCCCATCCGTGATGGTCTGATGACTTTTTGAGGCGCGCATGGAATGCGACACGCCGTACGCTCGGGTCTGGTTCTGGTCGGGCGGCGAGCTACCCATGCTCGCCGTCCGCAGGCCTGTGCACAAAAAAAAAGATGTTAAGAGTGTTTGTAGTGTGAAATTTCAAATTTATTTTACAAATTTATCGTTCATACCTAGATAGATAGTAGGTAGGTAAAGTAGGTACTTTAATAGGGTCGCTGATTGAATAAGATTAAATAATATTTTTTTAATCATCAAAAAATGGGTTAAATGCCTACATTCTATTGTGAAGAAATAGATCGAGGTAAAAGCACAATTTATATGCAAGTCGCCGATAAAACTCAAATAAAACTTACAAAGTAGTTTGACTACATTTTTGGATGCACCGCTATGACATCTTGTCTGCTACTATTAACATGCTCGATACGACCTGCGGTTTCTTAGTACACCGTTCTATATATCCTTCCTCAACTATGGAATTGCCGTGACGCAGAAACTGCATAAAACAATATTTATTTAAATAATTAGCACGTAATTTATGGTTTAGTAGGTAATTGCTAACGACTTTTGGTAACATTATCTAATCCATGTGATTTTTTATAGTTTTTTTTTGATTCGTTGTATAAAGTCGATAGAAACATAACTACTATCAATCTAGTCTCATTTTCACATCTATTTATTCGAACTTTTTCTTTATTTACATAACCATGTTTGCAACAAGAAGAAATGTTACTGACTAACGTACTATAGTCAGTAACATTTTTTCTTGTTGAACAGTATTTATGATGCATACTTATGCATCATAAATACCTACTGTTCACCCTTGTTTCATCGAACAACGTTTGATATAATATTATTAAATCGGACAACGTTTAAGAAAGTCGTCAGTTAGTATAATATCGTTACAATTTTCAGTTTGTCGAATATTTATTTGCTATAACAACATTTGCGTTAATGATCAAATCACATCAAATTAACATTATATACCTATATCATAATGTTCATTTGATGTAATGTTCAGATGGTATATTTTAAACTAGAAGTTGAATTAATCATAAATTATTTGCAATTGCTTTTAGTAGGTAAATCTAAATTTTCTAGCAAAATTTTTTGGTCACCCCGACACATTTGGATAGGTTAAGTTAGAACTGTGACCCTCACAAGACACGAGGCAAGCGAGCGCAATATCACTAACCACTTTTCAAATCTTTTCATACCATTTAGCTGTTTGTATTAAAAACATCAGTTTCAATAAAATTAGTGCATTTGAAAATTCGATGTAATGAAAGTAGTTCAAATAAATAACTATGCTAAATAAAAAATACCAATGAATTGTTTGGTCAAAGGAAAGACTACGAAATGACTTTCTTGCAACTAAAATTCGATGAAGTGATTTTCGACGAGACGTTGTTCGACCAAATAAGGGTCATAAATACTTAATTAAAATAAGTAAAGCTGTGTTAAAGTGTAAATCAATATTTAAGCTCTTCGCAATTATTTCGTACCTACAGTTAGGGCCAAAGCATCTAGAATTTTTCTATTTATCAAGAAAATACAATTTGTTAGAGTGCATTTATAGAATACAAGCGATCATAAAGTAGATATTGACACTAGATAAACACAATCATATTAACTTAAATGATATTGGTTTATATTTATAAGTATTACTTTTGATTACTTTTGTTAAGTAACAGATCAAATAGTAGTATAGCCAAGCTAGCTAGTATGCAGTTTATAGTTACACATTTTAAAATTACTAGACTTTCGAAGCATTCCTTATAAACTTTTGTATAATAACTACAATCGTCTGAGGCATGCGAACAATTATTTTGCCACCAACTTTTCCGAAACTTCGAAACCTGTTGAAGAAGTTTTTTCTTTGAATTAAATAGCTTTCGCTAAATATGTTTTAACGGACATTATTCCTTTTGTGTACTTATAAAACTTTGGCTACGACATCAGTATATTTTTCAAACTTTTATCTAGTTTCATTCAGTACTTGCTAAGTTCTAGTTTCTTTCATATTCAAGTTACCAGTGTCATTCATATTCAAGTTACTAGTTTCATTTAGTAAACTATTAATAAAACTTGTAGTAACAAATTGTTCACAGAAACATTACTAAAATCATACAGACCGTTTAAAAACTGCTGAAATCTATTCGAACGTATATTAGACACGTTTCATGTTTCATAACAAATATGTCGTGATAAATTTATGTAAGAACACCATAGAAGGACCTAACGCTTCGTTACTAAATCATTATTTAGATTAAAAAACATCCTAATATGTATTACTCATTCACAAATCCATAATTTAATATTGACGTTGTGTATTGGCGAACTTTGTACCAGACTCGATTCTGTTTACGGTCGCTAATTTTATAATGTTATTGAGTTATCCATTACAGGACATTCTCATCTTACATTACATATGTCTCAGCTACAGTTCTTACTGGAATGCTTTGTAATAATCTCACCTCTTCTTATCACTTCCACAGACGACGTCTGTGGATGCTCTCTGCCCTCTAGGGGGACATAGAGCGGTAAGTCCCCTCTTTGAGGAGTGGCTTGAGAGACGCTACGGCGTCCTCACCTACCGCCTGACGCAGGTCCTCACCGGACATGGAAGTTTCGGGAGGTACCTGTGTCTGATGGAGCGGGAGGAAACGCCCGGGTGTCATCACTGCGAGGACCGCCCTGAGGATACGGTGGAACACACTGTGGCGGAATGCCCTGCGTGGGCTGAGCACCGCCGTGCCCTCAGGGAAGTGATCGGCGATGGCGACCACTCGCGTCCGGACCTAGTGCAGGCCATGATGCGGAGCGAGGGGGATTGGGATGCCGTCTCCTCCTTTTGCGAAGCAGTCATGCTAGCTAAGGAGGAGGCGGGACGCGTGAGGCAGCGAAGCGCTGCCTCCTCGCAACCCAGCCATCGCGAAGGACACACCGGGCGTCGGGGATCGCGGGACGATCTCCGGCCACCATAAGCGCGGGCCTGCGGACGGCGAGCATGGGTGGCTCCCCGTCCGACCAGAAACAGACCCGAGCGTACGGCGCGTCGCGTTCCGCGCGCGCCTCAAAGAGCCATCAGACCACCACAGATGGGGCCCAATAGGGCCGATGCCGATTCGGAGTCGCGGAGAACCTAACGGGTAACCGGGGCGGGGGTGGTTTTTAGTCAGTAAGAGTCTGACACTCCCTCCCGCCTCACCCAGGCGGGAGCAGTCATTCGATGATTTTCCCCCTTAAAAAAAAAAGGGGGACATAGGCCAAGTAAGTCACTTATTACTTGCTTACAATCACCCGAGTCTATAGATACTCAACTACACAAAAGGTCCAAATAGTTCCATATTTGATCCAATTTTCCTGTTTTCTTCCAACGTATCGCCCTAAGCTTAAATGTGCACCTCACTGAGTGCCTCTACACTTAGTGCATTATCGTTTAGTTATTCATAAACGTAGGATTATGAGTGATTAGGCATTTCTATTTGGGATATTTCTAAGGACCCAGTCAAAAATGTAGGTATCTAGGATTACCTACTGGTATTAGCCAGTCAGTGTTTTAATGCTCGTAGCCATAGAAACCATCGGCAAATCGGATCTATCTAAAGTCTGAGGCTCGAAGGTTACGCGGGACAAAACTTTGCGGTCACATTCTAAGGGCCTAGCCAGGCCTGACTATGATTATGTGAGTAAAGTCACGAACACAAACAACACAGAAATACATACAATACACTAGTATATATATATAGTACCTACCTTCAAACCTGTCCCTAAGAGAAAACATATATTTTCAGTTTATTGACTGATTAACTCTATTACAGCCGGTTAGTAATGCTTTAATTGAAGAAGAAATCTAGTTTCAATACTCTCAATCAAAGAAAGTAGTCTTAATAAAAACAAATGTTTTTTGAAACTATCTTAAAAAAAGTACCTAAACTCATTTTTGTAAAGACGAAATTAAGTACCTCATAGAGGTATGACCTCATTTTCGGATGTCTGTCCCTTGTTCTAATAATATATGCAACGTTATAAACGTACACAGCTCATTATTTATTTATAATAAAATTAAAAATGTAGGTACCTATCGTCAGAATAATACTATTTAAATAGTGGTGATTTCGTAGAATTACCTAAAGTTATTTAGTGGCGTACGACTTAAATACCAACAAATTAAAAAATAATACGATACTGTAATATCCAAACAAATGGAATATCGAAAATATTTACTAAAAATTATTTCTTGCAGTTGTAATCTTGCATTACTTTAATATTATAAAAACTTATTTTTCTGTCAGATTTTTCATATCATAAACGAAAGAGAAATTCGGATATCTCTTACGTTTACAAAGAGATGAAGATAGGTGGGGAAAGTGTTACACCGCGCGGCTGAAACTATAAGTAAGACGTGCCCAGCGCACGCGCCACTCAAAGCTCCGACTTGCGCGCTGTGTCACGGGCGCTCGTGTGCCGCATGCCCTAAAAACCATCTTCATAAACACCTTTACAATTCCCTAGTGCTACCTGTAACAGTGTGTGTACAAATATCTGGATTCAATTCATCGCAATCTCGCAATAAGGTAAGTTTATTTTCAATGATCGGAAATTTAAAAATTTACATTTTTAATTAGAGAATTAAAATTCTTGCTCTGCCACTTTCTTTTTTCATGATTTTACTTATTGTAGTGTAGGACATAAAAAATATTTAAAACAAAGTATTTAAAACAAAGAACACATCAAAGTGTTCTAATAAATTCTTTGAAGAGGAGGCTTTCATGAAAATGTTTTCGTGGAAATCTTTTAGAGTATACTGGAAGATCCCTTAAAATCTTAGGTACTTTTCTCGTAACGTAGAAAAGGTTTAAAACCGTAGTATTAAATGTTTTTCTACTAATAATGAGACATAGATTTACAGAAACAGTAAATTATCGAACACCATAACAGATCGTATTGAACGATGAACTGGGTCAAATATCTGACGCTACTTTTCACGGTCGTAAACAGCCACAGTGGGTAATAGACAAGTCATAGGATGAATTATATTCGCGTTGAAATCAGTGTCAGTCATGACATTGCATAAATCAAATATTACAGAAACAGTTTTGATGATAGCATATTATAACTATATATTGTAATAGATTTAATGGGCGCAGTGTATAAAGACCTGTTAAATTTTGATACCTTTAAGTGTCCACTGTTGACAATAATAAAGCAAAAACGTTGTATCATTATTTCTATCAACTAATTAACAAAGAGAAAGTCATAATTGACTTGGAAAAATAGTTCTAGAATGAAAGGAGTATACAGTTGTATGGCAATGAACGGTTAACTGCAACGTTGAAGGCTAAGATGCAACTGAAAACAATCAATGACGGTACGGGTTAGGTACATTCAACCGCAGGCGCCGGTGCAACCAAGTTACGTACTAACGTAACTATCACGAAGCGGCTGTATACTTGAGTACTTGAACCTAAATATTACAACAAACTTGAAATTTTTTTTACCTAAAAAATATGATTTTTAGTAATGGTCAATGGTCAAAATAATCCCACTGCTGAGCAAAGCCTCTTCTCACACGGAGAAGGTTTGTGGATTAATCACCACGCTTGCTCAATGCGAGTTGGCGATTACAAACTTATAATTAGAAATTATAAGTCCAGGTTTCCTCACGATGGTTTCCTTCACCCTTGTGTCAGTGGTGTCTAAATAATCGTCGAAAGTACATATAACTCGGAAAAAGTCACACTGGTACTTGCCGTTGGTAGGTTACGAATCCGCGCTATCATATATGACAAGCGGGCGTCTTAAACGACATTATGATATTAGTATCTAATGATCAATTTGTTTGCTACATCTGATAACTCTTTATATAGGCGTAAACGTATATTTTAAACTAATTAATTTGTATAATGAACTTTTACGAAATCTGATTGTTAATAAAACACGAAAAATTTGTTGATAAATTGTTAAACCTGCCTACATTCTTAATTTAACAATTCAAGTGACAGCTGGAATCAATCTTCTTTGTAATATGTTCAAATTTAACATTGTAAACATGTCAATTCACATGAAACCTCACGTTTTCCATTCAATTGAGAACGGGTCCCGCGTGCATTTTAAAATGTTCAAACATGTGGAAGTGGAAAGAGATCGAAGGAAAAGTATAAAATGAAAATTAAATAGATATTGCACATTCTGGCGTCATTGGCTATTGACAATAACTCGTATAATTGGCCTAATTATATTAGGAATGATGAATATATAGTACCTACCTATACAAAAGCCGGGATTAAAGTTCGTGATGTAAATATTTATAATGAAGAAAAAAGTAGTCACGTGGGGCAATTTTAATTGTATTAGTTGGCAATTATAAATTTCTTTGAATTAATGAATACTTAACATAATGTAGGTATATGCAAATAAAAAAAAAGAATAAAAAAATTTTTTCCATGCCTCTTAGAATCAAGTATCAGGTACATTTCTTATACTTAATAGCAGATTAAACTCATTAGTCATCCAAAAATTAATCATATAATTTTAAGTAAGTAATCACTAGGGAACAAGTAGCGATACTTGATTGTTGAAATTAAATGTTTTCTGAATCGAGTTCATAAAAAAACAATTGTTCGTGGAAGAACATTCTTTGGTCACCTTTTCCCAGACATTGACATTATGGACGTCATCATACACCCTTACTAATGTTATAAATCGGAAAGTGAGTTTGTTTATTTGTTTGTTTGTTTGTTCTGCTTTCACGCCGTAACTAGTAAACCGATTGCTTTGAATTTTTGCAGACGTAAAGTTAGAAGTCTGGATTAAATAATAGGGTACTTTTTATTTCGGAAAAATTTGATATTCACGAGGAAAAACGAAATCATTGGTATAGATGACGCTGTGTGTATATGTCACAAAGGCTATTTTTTATCATTCTGTGACGCTAGCGAAGCCGCGGGTAAAAACTAGTTGGATATTATTAGATGCACAACTTGCACTGAAGAACCTATATTTTATTTTAACTAGGGTTGATTAAATGCGAAATTCCGTGTTTTTGAAACTACTTTTCAGAACTTTGTATGACAGGCGTCATTGCCGAAAATTGTATATTGTATGTCCAATGTAGGTACCTAAATATCTTCAAATAATAAATGGCCGTTGTTAATTATTCTCGAGACAATTGCTTATTTAATTTATTTTTAGATTTTACGTTGATTACTAATTTTTATTAACGAAAATAAAATAAAAGTTAAATGAAAATAATTCAACAAGTTGTTAACATTAACTGATTTTGTTCTAAACTAGTTTTATGAATACCTGATTGCCTAATTTCCTAATTTCATAGACCATATTTTTTGCAGTCTCACAGACTTATTAAAAATAAATTTAGCTTATGCCTTTTGTAGGCATGAGATTTACAGTTGCGCTTAGTTTTTGTAGCCGTATTTGTATTACGTTTCGAAGTAATTCGCTCTGGTAAAAAAAGTATTAGATACTTTCGTTTTATTTTTTTATGTAACCGCTATAGAACCTCATTTGATGATGAGCCCCTATGAGCATCGAGAGTATCTACACACATCTCGAAGTGAAATGTATGTTAACGTTATTCGTAATCTATTTTAAATTACAATGAACTCGTTACTTTTTATGTATACGAATTAGTTACCTACATCTACAAGAAATGTTCTTGTTTAAAATAATTTTTGAGTTTTAAATACATAGAAGAGTTACCTATACTTTTTTATATACATACTTCTATATAAATTAAAACTATGCTATTTGGTATCATCAGCTCGAGAACTGCTAGACAAAATAATATATATATATTTTATTTGATGTGTTTTTTGTGTATATAAAAATTAAACATAAAGAGAATGTCTAAGTATATCTGCATATATGCATTGTTGTCCAAAGAAAAACTTAGATAATATTTGTCTATCATTGTGAATTTTAAAGTTACGAATGCGGTTATTTTCTAATTAACTAAAGTATTATTAAAGATAATTGTTAAGAAAATTATTTCATATACATTAATAATATAATTGTTCTTTATTCTTTTTTCCAAGAAAGAAATATTGTCAACGAAGTGTGACTAAGGAAGAATAATTTATTTTCAAAATAATAGTGATCGTTGTAATTTGAGACATTTGTAAAGTGGGTCATGCACGTGCTATGGCAGACCACGTTTTCAATATAAGTACGTCAGTTTTTCACTTGTAAGTGCATAAATTACGTAATTGATATATAGGTATCTACGTAATTATGAAAACAAAGCTAAATTTTAACTATCTGTAGGCACCTGGAACTCTTTTAGATCTTTCTGTTTTCGACAAATGATTAATCTTAGATTTTTCGGAAATAGATGAGAAAAAAACTATAGTAGGTTATAAAACATCACTCTAAATTCAATAGGAGCCGAGCATAGCGGGTAAAAACATAAGGGAATAGACAGTAACAAATTATCATTACTACTATAACTGAGCTTGAATTTAACAATGAATTATTATGGTTTCGGCTTACAAACGTAACTCGTTTGACGAGGAATTCCTAGTATAAAGCCCTGCTACAGACTAGACGCGACAATTGGGGCGATGTTCGGGTATGAAAATTAAAAATCTAATTAGTCCGTAAGTTAGTTAATGAAAAAATATTAGACACGTATTTTTTTATTTTGTCGTATAATAAAACAATACTTAAATAAAGCGAATCAATGTTTAGGAGCCCACTCCTAAACTTGGGGCTACAACGTCATTTCTACGTATAAAATGTACATAGAAGTGACGTCACGCAACATTTGAAATCAATATATCGTCGAAAGATTCGTTTCTGTAAGAAAATACGTGTCTAATGATTTAAAATAATCTACCAGACGGACATTAAAAATTAGGCATCTACCCTAGTATCGCGCTGCTACCGATTTAATTAATTTACATAGTATGTCTCACGAAGGTATTATATATTAATTTACTTAATAATTATACGTTATTAAAAATTATTATGATAATTAAAAAAAATGCATTGTAGGTATGTTTTTGCTAATTTATCACGTTTTTCTTTGGAACAAATAACATTACTTATGAATGCTACTTACGTCACTGAACAAAAAAGAATAAACGTAACATTGTTATTAAAAATAAGTTATATGTAATTTTCCACATTAAAAATGTCAGGTTCTTTGTCGTATTGAAATATAAACACTAATCCTTAATTTCCCCGCTTTGTTCAAAGATTCTACGTAAGTATTCTCGTCTGAGCTTTGCAAAATGTTAATTAATTTCTTATTACAATGTTAGCTTCGGGCATCGACTTCGTGCTCATATATAGGTGATTCCCGTCTTTCCCCATTTCTGTGGAAAGTTAGAGAAATCCTCTCTTAGGGCTCCTTTATACTCCTCAAATATAACTTACATGCCAAGTCTCAGCTTCCTAGCTCTAGTAGTTTCGGCTGTGCGTTGTCTGTCAGTCACTCCCTCACTCGGAGAGAGTACTGAGTGAGTGACTGTCTGACAGACAGAGAGTTTTATCTAAGTATACAGATAGAAGAAGACAAAAACACTTCAAGATAATGGCTTTGGAAAGCTAAATG